ACATCACTTCGTAATATGACACAGGTCTAAGTGATTTTAATAACTTGTAACCACTATATCTCAATTAAATCGTGTTCCGCCTTATGATAAACTGCATACTTGCAACTAACTTGTATGTCCAATCAGCCGGCAAGTATAAATACAAGTAAATAGTCTGCCACAAATCAGAACATTGAGTCTAGAGCATGTCTCTTACGAATACGCTCATGTTTAACGATTTGTTCTTAGCTATCTGTCCAAAACTCATATAATTATCACTCATGTATTTAAATTTTATTTTGATAACCATTCATGTGTCCTGATGTGCAAGCATTGTTGCTTTAGCGATCAATTCCTTAACTGTGGAGAATGTTTTTCGTGCGGTGTCGTCCAAATTAATGGATTTCGCATTTCCACGAAGTTGGTCGGTTAGAGGTTTCATGAGTAAAGCGCATTTAGGTACGAATCGTCTGTAGAAACTTACAAGGCCGTTAAACGTTCGCAGTTGCTTGATCGTGGTCGGTTCTGGGTAATCCAGAATTGCGGCAACTTTGGTCCTAGGGGGTCAAATGCCTTGAGCATCTATAGTGTGTCCTAGGAAGTTTAATGAGTCGGTTCTGAATTGGCATTTCTGAACGTTAACAATAATGCCATGTTTTTGTAGTCGGTCGAAAACAAGATCCAGATGCTTGAGATGTGTTTTTCTGTCCAGACTTGCGATTAGGCAGTCGTCAACATACGCATGTACGAAGTTGGGACCTCAAAAAACGTCGTCTATGAATCTTTGGAATGTTTGAGCAGCGTTCCTTAGACCGAAAGGCATTCACAAAAATTCATAGAGTCCGAAGGGAGTTACGATAGCAGTTTTCGGTATGTCGTCAGTAGCCATAGGGATTTGGTTATACGCTTTATCAAGTCGATTTTCGAAAAGACAGTTGTACCTTTCAAGGTAGTTGTCAAATCGTGAATATGAGGCAACGGGCAACGATCGGGAATGGTTTTCGCGTTCAATCGTCGATAGTCATTAGTTGGACGCCAATCGTTGCTGTCCTTTTTAGGGACCATGTGCAACGGAGATGCATATGGGCTGTTTGACGGTCGTATGATTCCTAAGTCCATCATATGGTCGAACTCGTTTTTCGCTAACCTTAGCTTTTCGGGAGCTAGTCGTCGTGCTTTAGAAAATACAGATGGTCGTGTAGTCGTGATGTGATGTGTAACGTTGCTGGTTACACACGGTAATCTCGGTTGCGTTTGTTGTATCCCAGGATACTTATCGAGAAGTGGCTGATAGAGTGGGTCTGTAGTGGCATTGGACAATAGCCACACAATCCACAAAGCTGTGAACACGAGATTACTCAGAAAATAGATATTCAATATTTAACTCGGGGAAATACCTAACAATGGAGAAGGCGCGGAGAGTGAATTGAATGGACTGGAGTTGTTCGAGTGGCATGGCTCGGCCATGCAGGCGTGGTCTCTGCTGAATGTTACCTTATATCTTCTATTCATAATAAATATATTGTTCTTTCTCTAGCCTAACCTTGTTCTACATCATGTATTAGTGATTGATACGATACAGTGAGTTGGTGTAGTCGATGGTGTGACTTCCACGTAAGATCTTATAGATTAGGCAGTTATATCATGACAAATCTACATATTTAGGATTAGGTCTATTATTAGAGCAGTGCTAATATCATAGTAGACCATAGTTCTACAGGTCTATCATATGCTTAATTGTGACTGGGGGATAATTTGCAACCAGTAAAAGAAGTTACGCAAACGGATAAATTAGTGTTTCCGTCTACTAGCCTCCGTTTGCGCGTATCGATGATCAGATTGTGATGTTGTAGAAGATCCATACCAATGATTGGCATAGAAACATCTGCAACAACGAAGATCCAGTGAATGGGTTTGCGTAAACCCACGTTCAGGTAAACGTACCTTTTGCCATACGTAGCGATAGGTTTTCCGTTTGTCGTCTGTAAGTTTAAGGCCGATTCGTGAAGCCGGTCGTTGGGATTCGCTGGGAGAACGCTAACTTCTGTACCAGTGTCGACGAGGTAGCGAACTCTCGTTGTCACATCTGTGACGTACAACAGACGGCTTGGAACTTTCCCGAGTTATTTTTCGAGTCAGTCGGTTCTGGGTTGGGAAAATTGCAGGGTTTTCTGAAATTTCTGGAAGACTTTCCATACTGGTTATGATACCAGCACCAGTCGGGGTTATCTGTCTCTTGTGGTCTAGAGACAGATCGCTTACGTGAAATGCCTCTACGTGGGATGTGCAATCGCTTACGGTCATTACGAAAACTAAGATAACGCGTAAGTGTATGACATAACTCGGTTATGTCATCCTGAGTCGTTTGAGGCTTTTCTTCGACTGAAAATACCTTGGTAGTAGAAGATTTCGTAATTTCTTAGATACGATCGGCAGATGCAGCCAGTTCGTCTAAGGCGTTGTTCTGAAACGGGACCAGAACCGCTTGCACCTGCTGGGGAAGTTTAGACAAGAAAAGTCGTTTGAATAGACCTTCGTCGAAAGTTCTTAGGCCTATAACCTCTCTCATCCTTTGCAAAATGTCCGTCGCAGAACCGTGCTGTAGGTATATGTTATTAAAGAATTGATCTAACTTTTGTCGATCGGTTAGATCTCCTCGTTTACAAATCGAACGTTTTAATGTTTCGTAAGGTGCAGAAACATCACTAGTAAACATACTAGGTGTTACGTACATGTTGAATTCGCGCGGTAGTGCCTTGATTACTGAGAGGAATTGTGCACGTGTGTCGTTCACACCGTGCTCGTGGAAGTCGGCTCCTGCGTAGCAGAACCAGGCTTCGATATTGTCGGGCCAGAAGGGCATGAGGTGGAACGAGGGTGGGGACATGGTCTTAATCTTAAATACCTTAGGAGTCTGTTCAGCCATAGGGGAATATTAAGTACGAGATTACAAGGGAAAAATATATAGATATCCTGAAACACAATGTATAAATACTAAAAAAATAAGGCAATAATATATAAAAAATTCCCAAAAAGGAACAGACTCACAGTTGCAATTCGGTGTACTAGATCACGTCGGTCTCACCAATGATGATGACACAGGTATTCAGTGTTTGACAACGCTTTTACCAGCAGCACCTTCTAATATAATTTGTACCCACCGAGAGAAATCAAAAGACAGAGTCGAGGAGATCGGAAGAGTGTATTTGGCGATAACCAATATATCGGAATTCTCTGATCTAATCTGGATAACGATTGCGGTAGATGTTGAGCACAGCGTTACCACACGTGATCTGGTGCGGATGCATGACCGAGCGCCTTCAGCTAGATGAGTCCACTAAAACATATGGTCAGCATCCAATGTCGAAAACTTACAGAGCTATTTATTTTGGGGATTTATTTACCGCTACAATTGTTTTGAAGTAGATGACTATTTCTCAATGGTGATATAAAAATAACCAAGCAACCTCCAGACGTAGCCAAAAAGTCATGCACAGATGGTTGACTACTTGGTATAGTGTACAATGTCCATGTTGAAAAACGTAAGTATACGAGGACTGCTGGCGTAGAATCTGGGAGTTAGCTATTCACTAATGTAACATCTGAAATCTAAAACTCTTCGATAGTTGAGATATGAATGGTTGCAAGACTTACGACTACAGACCAGAAGCACTAAGACCGAGTAAACTGCACAACCAGACAAGAATTTACCGAGTGAAATTTCATGCCTAATAAATATTGTTCATTACAAAAATTATAAGAGGACGTTTGCTGCAGATTTTTGATATTAGGGCTCTCAGAAGTTCGGTAACCACGTGATCATAAATCCAAATACGTATATGTCCGCCTGAATTGCACTTGCAGGCTTGCATTTCAAGCAAAATGAATAAATTCTGTCAGGAATTGGGATAAAGTAATATAATAGAAACAAGCATATGAGCGACATGATGAACTGGAAAATCAAGAATATACATCAAACAACAAAGCATTATCAAGAATTTACAACTAATAAAGTGACTATCCATCACAATTTTGTGTCACTGCACACTTTTATTTAAATCAACAATTTTTTTATCCGTTCACATCTTAGTTACAAATGACCTTGACCACACTAATTTTTTAAAATATAAAGGTTCAGATGAAGTTGAAGCGGTTTCTTTTACGATACTACCCTCCAGGTAAACTGAAAACGTCAAGCGAAACATTACTAATATAAAAGGTATCATACTGGACTATGAACAAGGTGGAGCTACCAAAACAAAGTCTATAGACCTTTTGGAATTAACACCTGAGTAGGTATACAGCTCACTTTAATTTTTTGCTTAAAGAAGTGATACCGAGGAAATCCTGAAAGAGTTATGCAGCAAGGAGCCCTTAATCACTGAGAAGCGGAAAATTCAAGTTCAGGAGCTAATTGAACGTTTGAAATCGAAGCTTTGTTCCAGTAGTAAAACTAAATTTGGTCAATATAAAGTATAAAAACATCTATTCTAACTAGCACTGTAGATATTACGTGCACATATTTTGCCCCTGACTAATGTAGCCTTCAACAAAAGTGGAAGCCAGTAAGTTGTTAGACCTGTCATAAGTATGATGACATATTATGTAATGTGATGACGTTTTCGTTTTCTCGGCCTTCGATCAGCATAAAATATATAATTTATTGACCAAATTTCCATATATTTGTTCCAGTAGCTATGGATCAAATGTTTTAGTTGCTGGAGGTTAGATCCATTTTGACTGTTATTTTTGACGCTAGAGTATAGAAGTTTAGCTCAAACTCTTCAAACTATCGCTACAAATGACTGATTTATTATTATCAGATGCCATAAAATGTGATTAGATTAGAATTTGAATATTCAATTTCCCTATTTTCAACTTGACACTTCTACCTCGGTTTCCATTTCATTCCTGCATTAGAACTAGGACAAGGCGTATAATAACGTATAAGCCACTTATCATTTAGTATCAACAATACAACAGACCATCATATCATTTGCCAAACACAGTGGTCAATTTACACTTTCAAAAAGCAGAATAAATGATAAAAATGCCTAGTTTTCAGACCGTGAAAACTCCTACAGAAAACGTCTGACCTAAAATCTAATTTATCAGGTGGATTTAAAAGTTTATACATTTCATCTGGAAACATTTATATCAGATATGTCATATAGGAGTCAGTTTGTTCACTTATATCTTCATTCGCACCTAGAATATTGAATTTTAGGACGATAACCCTTGCTTGTCGGTATTTTATACGATAAGAATATTTATGAAAAAGTCTTTGCTTACCTTGATCTGTTTTAAGAAAAACACTCCTATGTGGCACTTTTTTGGTGAAAAGTTACGTTTTACTGACTCAGGGTGGGAAAAACTGGGGTATATAAATGTGAAATACGATATGAAAGGTATTTATTCACTCTCCTTTAAACTCCTTTACAAACATAGTTTGGTAAACTTATGACCACTTTTATTCAATTAACTGATTCAGTACAGACCATTTTTATTTGAAAATAATTTTTGTCGTGGAAATATATCATATGAAAACTACTAACCACTGGACTTCTATTCAGCGATTATGTGCTTAATCCAAGGTCAGAATTTTGAAGAGTACTAAATTAAAACAGAGCAGCGTTTTGCTGCTCCCTGCTTTCCATGAGTTTTTATGGTTGGCTTCAGGTGGAAATGGAGATAATTTTATGGTAATTGCTGTTTATTTCTTCTGACACTATTTTCTACATGTTATATAGTTTTATTACTGGATCTTATGATCGTACATGTAAAGTTTGGCAAACTGAAACTGGATGTGAAGTATACACACTGGAGGGACACAGAAATGTGGTATATGCAATTGCATTTAATTTGCCTTTCTCAGGTAACTCGATCTATGTTATATATATCGTCACCCCTAAATGTAACCAAAGTCTTTACACATCATTTCATAAGTACACCTCAGCTTTGGATTACCAAGGGCAGAAGTTCATTCGTTAAATATTATCTATTAGAAATCGATGTTAATTTATCAATTACAATGTGTGATTACGCATCGAGATTGTTGCTTTTTTTAAAAGTAACAGTCTAAAAAAGAATCGAAAACCTATCAGTCAATTAACAATGCTTACCCAGCGGGTAATAAAGCAGGAGCCACAACTCAATCTATCAGTCACCCAAAAGCAACATAGAATCTGATGTGTGTGTGTAAATCGGTTCAAGTTGCCATATCTTGTAGCCCCGACAAGATTATGTTGCCAAGGCAAACCCCGGATTGGTTGACGTAGTAGCGGTATTAATGGTGATAGAAAAAAATCAGAGATTGAAGTTACAGCCCGAAAGGAAAATGCATATTAGGGAAATTATGTAAAAAATTGTGAGGAAGTTAAAAACTCAGGATCCAACAGAAGACAACGGGTTAATAAATTTGTGTCATTTCCAACTATTTTGGGTCGTCATTCAAGGTTTCTGACAATTGGTCACGATAATCACGTCGACCCCTACTAGGTGATCTGCACCTACTTATATGGCTGAGTCTAATAATCGCTGTCCTCATGGACCTATCTTATGTCTTAGTTTGACCGCACCTCTAGTTGACTTCCAACCTACTTCTCTATCAGATATCATCATTGTTTGAGGTTTCGGGTGGACAAACATGCACAATACATGTCCTAATTACTTCAGTCGATAAAAATGTACTACCTTGTCAACAGATTTGCCATACTTATCTAGTAATCGATGTGTAACCCCTTAATCACTAACCAAATGGTCCTAAAGTATACAAAAAATGCTTCGAAAACACCTACAACTGAATACTAGTAACCGTCGAATACCGACCATTTTTAAAGGCCGTCTTTCACACTCCTAATGAAGAACAGAACAAACAGCTGTACTGTAACTACTTGTATTCGTTAAGTTTGGCACATTAATGTCATCAAGGTTCGAAGATAGTTTTGTTCATTAGTTTGAAGGTAGTTTTCATCAAAGATTAATTCTGGCCAAAAACTCATTGAGAGTTTGTGACTGTTAAAGTTATGTGTTTGGTCAAATAACTGAACGTTTATAGTTCAATTTTGTTATTGATAGCTGGCTGTTATAATCACTTATATAGATTATAATTTGAATCGTACCTTTTATCTTAGTCAGTTTTTAAACTTCACAAAGTTTATTTTCGTTTACACTGGGGTTTAAATCCACTGAATTTTCGAACCTTCTGTAGAAATAAACTGATGTTAATTTTTATCTAAGCTTCTGAGCACACGGTCACGTGTCGTGTAGAGTCTGGTGTTCAGAAACCCAATAAAAATTATTATACGAAAATTTATGGAACGCATTGCAAGCTTTAGTTTGTGAGGTGTCGACGTTATCTACCATGTCCTTAAAACTAAATAAGAATGCCTTCTAAGTTGTTTATGTCAAGTTAGTTACAACAAAACATAATATTCTGTATGAAAGCTAAGAGCTATATTGAAATTACAAAACGAGACAACATCAAAATAAGAACGAAGAACACCAGAAATGTAAACTATCATTGAAGCAGATGTTCAATGACTACACTAAAATTAGAAAAAACTGTTACAATTATTAGGGAGATGTAATTACAACAACATAAAATGAATGTTACCAGTTTATATAGTTAGTTGGAAACAATATTTACGGACAGATAGCATTCCATTTTTAAAAACTATTAAAATTGAACTAACTACTGAATATTAGTAAGTAGTATAATCTAATGTACGAAAAGGAGTAAGAAAGGACGAGAATATTGATAGAAAATGTAAACAGACGACAACGAGATTTAATTCTTTAGTCTGCTTTTTAAACACAATGGTACCCATACTTTAAAAATGTGCAGGTGAAGAGATTCACAGAACAAGTAACTAGTTTTTTTATTGGGATTTACAATGCCTTACAATTTATTTTCAAAAGCTACCCGATTCATTGAAAATCTAGACCTGAATCTATTGAAACCAATTCAAAGCTCTTATTAGAGACTACAAATAGCTAATCAATCAATTAAACTAACCAACAATGATTATTACTTTTACAATATAATAAGAAGTATAGTAGTAAAGAAATCTGTACAAAAGTACAACCTTTTTTAATTTATCGTACATAAATTCAAACAAAAATATTGAATTGAATAAAACCAAAATATATTTAATATCAGATGGGTTTTGTGGAGATCGTAGTAATTTCAATGGTTAAGATCATGAGTCAGTTGAAGATAGACCACGATGGAAAACCTGGAAGCTCTGGAGTCCCACAATAGGACGAAACGGCTGTCCATTTCTTCCATGTTTTCCATGGTGGTCTAGCTTCAACTGACTCATGGCCTTAACCATTAAAATAATATTTATTATTATATTAAAACAGATTGAAATAATGAATCTATGAAATTCATTATAGTCAATTTGTTTCATATTTGTTTATAATTCATTCAATATTCATTATAATAATCTTTTTATTTTAGATAAAATTGCAACTGGTTCATTTGATAAAACTGCTAGATTATGGAGTGCTGAAACTGGTAAATGTCATTATATTCTACAAGGTCATACAGCAGAAGTAGTTTGTATACAATTTAACCCAACTAGTAATCTTATTGCTACAGGTAAATCATAAAGTTAAATGATTTTTTGTAAAAATGCATATTTGAATATTCAATTTTATCTTATTTTAGTGAAAGTATTTTATGTTGAGATTATAATTTATGGACGAAACAATCAGGTATAAGATAATAGGTCTCGGATTTGGGCATGAAGTTGACTCATTCATTTTGGCTAAATAGAGTCTTGGCATTATAACTAATGTCAGTTCGTGATGAAAACCCTAAAGCTAATTCCTAACCTTAATCATCAACCGTAAATCATAATTCGAATTCCTCACACTAATTTATAACCCTCATCTGGTCCTAGTTATCAGGTAGATACTCTCAAGGTCAGTCTAGCGTCACTCAAAGGTCTTCCATAAATTATAGTCTCACTGTATTTTATATTTTTTTGTCAAATTTATGTGATATTATTTTATCCATTTTATGTAAACCTAATAATCATTCATGGAAAAAACTATACAAACAGATTTAAGTTATTTAATTCATGAAAAGTAAAATAGTTGCATAATTTTAATCGATAATTTCAGTCAGATTTGATAGAGCTTTTCTCTATCAAATTATGTTACAGAGACAATGTTACCGGAGGCAATCATATTATAACCAATTTTAAAAATAAATGATCGTTTGCTACTCATGATTCAAATCTTTGATAACTACCACTTGATCATAATAGCTCTCTTCACATTACGTAAGAATAAGATTACAAATGAAAGTTGAACTACCTCCTTTATCATACTTTTGAATGGACAATTTTCTAATTTCACCTCAAAGAAACCTGCTAGGGTCGAACCTATTAATGACTTCATAGTAACTTAATTAAACTTCCAAAAGAAATTCGTGTTGAACAAAAAATATATATTTACCATGTATTTGAGAAGTTCTTTTAAAGAGGAAATACAAATACTTATTTCTATTTCTCAACTTCATAGTTTACTATATATGAATATAATTATTTCCATCAGAATCATGTTCGTGAATAAAGGTGATACATCATGTAATGTCATCAATTTGTTCACCATTTTTAAATTCTTGATTCTGTAGGAAAAACTAAAAACTGTCTTTTACATTGTGCTTTATTACGTCTCTGTGTAGTAACCTTAGGATTACTGCTGGTATTCCAAAGGTCACGTGTTAAGATGAATCTACCATTATCTATAATTGGATGAGGTGATAAACCGCTTTATTTACTTTTAACAGAGCATTTAGTCTGCATGTCACAGCTCCAGTGCATCTGAGAACTGCGTATAAGCCCTCGAAAACTGGACGTGTTTTTTCAAGCTCATTCGCTCAGTCTTTTATGTGAGGTCGTTTTTCGAAGATAATTTCTGAACTTCGCAACAGTCATGGAATAATGCATTAATCTGTTATGTGCAGACTGTTTTATCTATAAGGACTATTTCTAATCCCATGCTAGGTTGAGTAATTACTTGTTTCTCATAGGAATTTTCATTCCGATGCATTCAAATGATACCAGTCGGTGCATTAATAGAAAGCTATTTTTTAACTTATCAAGAGAACTCCATCAAAATCCCATTATGCTCCCAGAGTTCATCTCTAACGTTCACAAGAAGCCATATAAATATACTTAAATAAAATCAATTCTGGGATGCAAGTACATGCAGCTGACGTATCCGAAATAGGATGAAACGTGCGTCTTAAGTTCTATTGCTAGCCACCACCTAACTCTGCTTAAAAAGCTGTGTAAAATAGAAACAGACATCAAGCAAACGGTTGAAGTTGTCCGAAATTTATTGAAGGATAAACATAATATTATCAAATGTTGACCAAATACAAATTAAAATATAAGATTGATTCCTAAAATTTTAAATACTACTAAAAAATACAACAATTATTCAACGATAACATACTAGAATAAAATACGAATAATGGGGTTCATTCCTTTCCATTACATTCTTTTCATTTGGCTATAAGAAATAATAACAAATCATTGATTTAATATTGATGTCATGAATGAATCAATATTAGACAACCATTGAAAACCTGGAAGCACCGGACGACAGTTTTGGCCTAGTACAGGACTCCTCGGCAGTACGTATCTCCAATGGCGTTAATGTCCATTCATGATATCAATCTTAACTCAAAAATCTCCACATCCCTATACTGAAAATCATTGGGTTCTTTTTTCAAAACGTTAAAGACTTAATAACCGACTCAGTCAGTCAGGCACATATATTCACCTCATTAGCACAACAAGATGAACAACAAATTCATGGAAGCAGTTACGTTAATGGTAGTAATATATAAAAGAAAGATTATGTATAAGGATATAGTACAGGAAGAAAGAATTAGTACGTAGAAAGAAAGATATGAAGCAATTTTAATCCCATAGTTTAAGGGAAGACATAGTGTGTACACTTACGCTGTTGTGATCGATTCTGAGCCATGTCACCAAGAGTCTCCAACCATTGGTTACGATAGTCAGGCGGACCCCAACCAACTAGTCGGCATCCAACATGGCTCAGACCAGAAGTTAATAACTTCATGGACTGATGCCACGTTTTGGTTAGGCCACCCTTAACTTTCTTACATTCGTCTCCAACACTAGGCAACATTGCGCGTCGTGGTAATCGGTCTTCAGGCATACCTACCTAAGTTCACAAAGAGCGGAAGAAATCCAGGTTCAAAACGAAGATTTATCTACAGAACGGTTCTCTAAGAAATATATGTAAATTAGTTACAAATCTCAACTTGTGGGGTGTCTGTGGCGATTAATGCGTCCGTATATATGGAAAGGAGAGTTCTTCTTTCAATTGTTACGTAGACTAATGATAATATTTGGTAGCTTAAATGACAATCGGTATCTTTGTCTACAATCAATAATGACTATCAACTATCAAACGGAGACTATGAGCATAAAAATATGGAAGCTGCAGTTTTTAGACAATGATTCAACGAATTCACAAAAACTGAAAGTGACTACTACGAGTGCTGAGAGACTTTGTGTTCAATGACAAATAAAAGAGATGTTATTAGTTTATGTAAATACTTAGGAGTACAACATCAAAACATATATACGTTACACATCAACTTCGTTTTGCCAATCTCCTTTTTGTGTATTACTTATACTACTAATAATTACTAAGTAACTAGTTCATTTCTCATAACTTTTGGGCATCAAAAAATAATGGGAATGAAATCAACGGTTTCCTTGTGTATTCTATTAAGTCTTTACTGATCCTGAATATTCTTTGAAATTTCCATTCTGAACCATTCTTATTAACTTCTAACACTCCTTCTTGACACAAGTGTGTTCTATTTTGTGATTTATCTTGTGTTCTGAAGACTTACACTCATTCACATATGGGGCACATTTTACTTAAGATAGGGTTTCTGATTGTGTGAAATTGACGGTCAGACATCTCATTTTCCGAGGTTAAAAACACATAGTGCTTACTTTGTTTCGGATACCAGGACTGTACTTTTAAACGGATCCTGCCTTTTGGTTTAAGACTTTCACGTGTGAACTAATCGCTGGGTTGGAATAATTGTATGGAATTTCTGAAGACTACTGGAAGAAAAATATCCATTTCGCTTTAAAAAATGAATGAAATCTATCAGTCAGATTTACTACTTTTACATAAAATTGAATGAATGATCTGAAAATTAAGATTCATTAGTGATTTGTAAACTGTCCAAAGAACAGCGTAGAAATATAATCCCTTTTAAATTCATTTTAACCATCTACGAAGATAATGTGATGTATGCTGGATGATAAATATTTTTCACTCAGTTTTTCAGTGAGTAGATATTTTATTATAAATGATGCTTAGAAATCATTGATAATGATTTATTTTAGGCAGTATGGATACTCTCGCAAAATTATGGGATGTAGAAACTGGAAGTGAATTAGCCAGTTTAAATGGTCACACAGCTGAAGTTATTGCATTACAATTTTCTCAGTGCAATTCAATTACAACTTATGGAACATCAAGTGAAAATAATGGTCCTTATGGAGATTCTGTATGCGGAGCAGGTAATGGACGCCTAATGTTAACAGGAAGCTTTGATCATACTGTTTGTTTATGGGATGTAAGAACTGGTGAACGCACACACCATCTGATTGGTCATGCTGCAGAAGTCTCAGCTGCCTCATTCACTTATGATACTTGTTTAGTTGCAACAGCTTCAATGGACAAGACTGTTAGAGTGAGTTTGATTACAAACAATATAATCGAATGTTTTAAGATTGATAGTCTACGGTTAGAATTGTAGTTCCAAGGTACTATGTGTTAACTAAGACGGAAATATTAATGGAATCATCATCAGCGACAACAGAGACAATCCTTACCTATTTAGTATATTTATGTTACCAGATCAAGCGAATCTTGTTCTAACTGTTCTGGAAAGATTTCAGGCACAGGCCACATACAGCGAAATAAATAAAAAGAGACTGATAAACCTAATCAGAGTTCGGATTTTAAATTCATAGTAAAGAAAAGGTACTTAACTGTACTTCCACAGTAATTACGACTATCATTTATTTTTTCCTAACATTTTATACAAATTAACTAACACGTCTAGGTGTGGGATACTAGAACTGGTCGTCAACTACACTTGCTTACCGGTCATCAGGATGAAGTATTAGATGTAACATTTGATCCCAGTGGTCGACGTCTGGCTAGTGCTAGTGCTGATGGTACTGCAAGAGTATGGAATGTTGGTATAAGTGGAGAGACAAAAAGTGCAAAATTCCTGTCTACACTTATAGGACATGAAGGCGAAGTTAGCAAAGTAAGTTATCTTTTACTATTAAAAATTATTTTATCTTTAAATATGGTGCATTCGACCTCAGTTTCCTTTTTATCGTAATTTATTTCAGTAATTTGCGAGATTTTTTGATTATTTTGTAGCTTGGACTTTAAAGGTAGAGTACACATGTAGATTGTAAGTATTCGGTCAAATATACATTTGAAGCGTTGTTCGGGTACTGTTGAACTATCAAGTGAGTAATAATGAGGTTAGGCAGACGGTTTTTGGGTAGAAATGACTAGCTGATTGGTGAGGATATTAGCCTTCATTCAATTAGGTGATTGGGTTATGTGTTATTACAGCCTACTTCAACGTTAAATGCTACCTGACATGAGTGATTTTGAAGAAAGATAAAAGCAATTGAACGAATAAATTGTATTAGCCTATTAAATTCTTGACTGTAAAAACGGTTTACATCGAGAGGTCTTACTTGCGATCCGGAGGACACTCACAAAATATGGTTCGAGACACGAAATCATGTGGTATGAATCTGGACTCACTGGCCCAGATGTATCCAGTCTTAGTCATCCTATGGATCTTGGGCTTATTGTCTTTTCACACTCTTGGCTTGCTGATTTCATCTTCTTCTTTCGAATGATACTTTTGTGTTAAGCTTCCCAATGCAGCTTATGTTATTTCCCTTCTATTGCTTCTCCTGTCCGTCGGTTTCACTAGATGTGTTGATATGAATTGTAGTAAATTAAGTCGACTCACATTCGTGGGTGATCTCATCTTAGTTATGACCAGTAGGATGACCAGTAACATTTTATTATAGATACAAAAGTGGAAGATTTTATAGTTTTAATAACGGAGACCTACGAGTTCAAGCTATTTAACATGTTCTTAAGTTATTCGAAAAATTGTCTTAAATCCTATCGAAGCTTCCGAATATACAATAAGGTGACATGTAGCATCTGAAGAATAAAAACATAAAATTATCTGCAATACGATATAATTATTAAGAATATTTAATTACAATAATAAATAAATTGAATATTATCTGTTTATGTCTACGCTTAGAAATGTTAAGACTGACGGAAGAGATACCACACAGTCCCTTCAAAACTAACTAAACTTGATTGGTTACTGAATATTAGTAAGTAGTATAATTTAATATACAAAGATAATACAGATGGAAATCTATACAGACTTGACAATGAGGGTAAAATAGCTTGATCCCAATAAGAAATTAATTAAAACATATGGAGGACACTTCTTATGAATCTAGACTTCTGTCAGGTCTTAATTGAGTAATTTGTTTATTAAAATCAAAGCACACTGCATTAAAACAAGGCGTCACATTGCTATATCCACTGATTCACTTGTAATAATTTGTTTCTTGATTGTTGAACTCTCAAGGACACTTTCAATCTAACTCGAAATTCATTCTCATTATAATTCCCTTTCGATGTATATATATATATATATATATATATATATATATATATATATATATATATATATATAAACCTCTCTGCTCCGATTCGCCCGATGTATTTGCAACTTTTTTATCTGTGCTGTAGTTGCCACTTATTATTGCCTTCTGAATTCAAACACCGTTTAGATTTATATAATAACGGTTATCGAGGTGATTAATTAACGAAGCTAAGCCACCACAAAAGATTCATGCACAATAACATATCAACGATCGTTGTGGTGATTGGAAAAAGAAAGTAATCAGGAGTTGGGAAAATAGCATTGTTGTGACTTTATGTCCGGCTTTTTTTCACGTGATTTATCCACCAATCAAAATACGACTTATACAATCTTAGCACTGTACCAAACCAATGACGTTCGAACAGTATGAGCAGCCTAGCGTCCTTATTGGTCCTATGTTCGCCTAGCCCGTCCACTTGAGTCCAGAACACCAATACCAGCTTCCACTATGCGAATCATATATTTCAAACATACTGGATTTGTCTATCAACCAAAGAGACATCAACCCACCATAAAATAGGAAATAATATTTATACAAGATCAAGCCAATAAGTGGCTGTGAACGTGGAAGACAGTAATTAATAAACTGAATATAATTTAAGAACAGTAAATCGTATAATAATAAATTATGGGTCAAAATGAAGCTCATAATAAGAGGAATATAAATATACATAATCTAATAATTGAATAGTTATACAATAAGAATATTTATAGAACATTAGTCCATTAATAGTCCTTGGAAGTTACCTGTAATTTAATCTTCACTAGGATATAACAAGCATGATTTTCAAAGAAGTCGGAATTGTAATTGAATAATTCTATACATTTATTGGCAAATTTGACCTTGAGGCATATAGTAAAAGTAACGAATAGAAAGTAGGAACGACTAATCAGATAACAACAAACGTCAGTGTAAGAATCTGAACTCGAAAAAAGTTGTCACGGTTAGCATTAAATGTAACATTTATTATTTATCAATAAAATGTGTTAAAGCTGACTCATAGAGGAGAACTTAATGAACAATTTATGATTCTAGGATTAGGATTTAGACTTTAAAGTTCGGATGAATAGTTTACAATCAAGAACTACGGTCTCGATCAAGGTTACAGAATGAAGTTTGTAATTTAAAATTAGAGTTCATAGAGAGTTCATCGTCCACACCGACTTCGGTGGCTTGGACATGTTCTACGAATGTCGTCCCAGAGAATTCCACGTCGTGCATTATTTGCCGACTCAGGGACTAGTTGGAAAAAGCGGAGAGGTGGTCAGTGCATGACATGGTGTCGTGGCATGAAAGAAAGCTGCAAAGGACTGGCTTGTGTTGGTCCTTCACGACTCCCTGGTTGGGGTCTGAGAGATGGTGCTACACAGTGGCTAGAGACGTTATCAGATATGGCTCAGAATGGAAGCCAGTGGCGATCCTGATGTAACCTTCTTTTACTTTCTTCATAAAAAGTGGTTGTGTCTCCCTTACCTGAAAGATTTCTTCCGATTGTACCTTTGCGTTCCCTGATTACTAGCACATTACCTTACACCAATCTCTTCGTTATTGTTCTCTCTTTTTTTATTGCGCTCCTTAGCTTTTTTTTTCTTTCTTTGTATTCCTCTCGAATTTTCATTGTTTTGTGTGGCGCATATATATTGGCGCTCTCTTGTACCAATATTCATGTGTCCAAATAAAAAAAATAATAATTTAAAATTAAGAGTTCAGGTTAGAGGTTGGGATTGTGATTAAGCTAAAGGTTAGTCTTAGATTCTAATCTTAAACTTTTCATTGTAATTGTGAATAATACTCTAATTTTGAACCTTTAACCCTAAATCTTAGTCTCGAATTTTAACCAAGACTCCTGAACTTTAATCCTAACCGTAAACTTAAATTCCAAACCGTAAATTCTAATTCAAAAGACACTATGGTATTCCAGTATTGCTTACGTCATTGAAATGAATCATCTATGTTCGATAAACAACATTTTGTCTGATATATATACTACGAACTTGAAGTCACTTACTCGTTTCTGAATTTCTCGCCCCTATAAGTTAACTTTCGTAATATATATATAGTATTGATATTTTTTCATATTAACCATTATTATTTTCTTTACCAGGTATGTTTTAATTCACCTGGTAGTCTAGTATTAACAGCTAGTTCAGATAAAACAGCACGTTTATGGGATGTAGAAACTGGTGAACTAAAAGATATTTTATCTGGACATACAGATGAAGTATTTAGTTGTGCATTCAATTATGAAAGTGATACAATTATAACTGGATCTAAAGACAATACATGTCGTATATGGAAATAACACTTTTAACAATAATCATTATCATGAACTTTCTTTGACTTCTTTTGTGTGTGTTTTTTTTTTCTTAACTCGAAAGGTTTCTTCTAAAGTCCCTTAAAAAAGAAAGTTGTAATTTTTACTTGAATTTCATTTCATTTTAAAGAAAAAAAAAAGAAAGATTGCATTTCTTGTGTATATTCACTTACCTCGGTGTTGTATAATTTCAAATCTAATATACACTATTTATTGCTCAGTTATTCTCTTTCCTTATATATCTGTATATTCAAGCACATAATACTAATTACTAGATAATAATTACTAACATACTTAAATGAGAAATAATGAAATACACCACTGAAAGCATTATAAGCAAAGATGGATAGTGGCTAGCAGTGGAATCCAGGACGCGCGTTTCATTCTGGTTGGGACTCGTCAGCTGGATGTACCTGCATCTGAGTTGATGTTCACTCTGGGACTCGAACTCAGTACCGTTCAATTTCAGTCCAAAGACATCAATGGGAAGATTCAAGTAAAACAATATCAAGTGAATTACACCAATGAAAGGTTGTATTTTTTAAGAAATTATTTTACCTAGAATAATAATAATGTTTATTATTGAATGATAAGTAGCTTCAATCCAGCACCAGACTTACCGCCTAAAGCTAAAGATCATATCATGTCATTCGATAAGGTACTTTTATTTTTAGCATGTATGAGCTATCAACTTCATGAATATGACAATTGTTTGTATTAATTTTAGTCCAGAAATCATTGACAAGATAGAAACGTAATTAATAAATAAGTGACACTAAAGTGGTGATTCAAACTGATTTTTTCATAAACCAATATATAAATGATCCTGTTTTGTCTATTTTAAGTAATCGTTTACAATAAAGTCTAAAATGAAAATCGAAATAAAATATTGAGCATCTTAAATATTTCCAGATAAATGTATTCAGATCTGTGTTTTCATTAATACGATCATTTATTAGTCTATCATTGATTTTTATTTAAAATAAGAAGGTATTTGGAACCTTCTGAAATTTTTCTTCAGTTTTACTCACTTACTTACACCTCTTACTCCTAATGGAGCATAGGCCGCCGACCAGCATTCCCCAAACCACTCTGTCCTGGGCCTTCTTTTCTAGTTCCATCCAATTCTTGTTCATTTTTCTCATGTCTATCTCCATTTCCCGGCGTACTGTGTTATTTGGTCTTCCTCTTTTCCTTTGGCCTTCAGGATTCTATGTGAGGGCTTGTCTTGTGACGCAGTTGGGTGCTTTCCTCAATGTGTGTCCTATCCACTTCCAGCGCTTCTTCCTCCGCTGGAATCTGGCTTGTCCTCTCCCATAGTAGGTTGTTGCTAATAGTGTCCGGCCAATGGATCTGAAGTATTTTGCGTAGACAACTGTTAATAAACACCTGTATTTTCTGGATGATGGCTTTGGTAGTCCTCCAGGTTTCTGCCCCATACAGTAGAACTGTCTTGACATTTGTGTTGAAAATCCTGACCTTGATGTTGGTTGACAGTTGCTTTGAGTTCCAGATGTTCTTCAGTTATAAATATGCTGCTCTTGCTTTGCCGATCCGCGCCTTCCCATCTGCATCAGATCCACCCTGTTCATCAATGATGCTGCCCAAATATGTAAAGGTTTTTACATCTTCCAAATCTTCTCCGTCAATTGTGATTGGATTGGTGCATTCTGTGTTGTATCGGAGAATTTTGCTTTTCCCTTTGTGTATATTGAGACCTACTGCTGCTGAGGCTGCTGCCACACTGTTCGTCTTCTCCTGCATCTGTTGTTGCGTTTGGGATAGAAGGGCCAGATCATCTACGAAGTCTAGATCATCCAACTGCATCTTAGATGTCCATTGTATCCCGCGCTTTCCTTCAGATGTTGATGTCTTCATGATTCAGTCGATCACCAGGAGAAAGAGAAAAGGTGAGAGTAAGCAACCTTGCGTGACACCGGTCTTTAATTCGAACGAGTTTGTCAACTGTCCTCCATGCACAATTTTGTAGTTTAATCCATCATAGGAATTCTGTATGATATTAACCATCTTCTGAGGCACGCCGTAGTGTCGAAGAAGCTTCCATAGTGTTGTTCTGTCCACGCTATTAAATACTTTCTCGTAGTCAATGAAGTTGATGTAGGGTGATGAATTCCATTCATACATATATCATTCATATATTTCAGACTGATCTACCACAGTTGGGATTCAATATGAAAGAGACATACTATACACATGTAATACACTCTTTCTGCAACAACAACAACAAAAACGAGTTCGTTTATGTCTAAATTTAAACTATTCAACTATTGTAAATTTTGTCCTCGTTTATATAACATCGACAAATTCATAGATATGTAAATTAAAACATTCAAGATTGACTGATAAATTAAACTTTTATAAAAATAAGAAAGATTGGTTCAGTGAAGCGATAATTCTCTTCTCAAAGAATTTACTTTTAAAGTTCTGTAATCCTAAATACATATATATTTTTCCAAAATGCTATGCCATAAGATATCTGTTAATAATAATAATAATAATAATAATAATAATAATAATAATAATAATAATAACAGTGACAACAATTCGCTGAACATAGCAACAGAAAAGAGAAATAAATAAAAGCACAAAAAATGTTATTCTCACCAAGAAAAGGATTGCGTAACTTGATAAGGTGTTAAGGTTGAGGTGAAATGTAGTTAGAAGGAATATGAAGGCAGAAACAAGTCGGTTGGGGGGGGGTTAGAGGTTAATTGAGGGAGATATAGAGGAATGTTGATGGATATGGAAAACTTGATGTTGAGACTATGGTAGAAGAAACAGTTGAATAAGTATTTCTGTGTGTTTTGATGAAATAAAAATGATAATAGATATTTGAGAAATGACTGAACTGTAATAAAATTTCAATGAGTAACCTGTGAACTTGCAGGTCCTGGATCAGATAACAGAAAAAACTCAAAAATTAGATGAAACAGTACTGAGTGACTGGAGATTCATCATAATCATATGTTTAAGTTTGATATTTTTAATACCCATAAAAAGATATGTGACAGGGGAGAACTCAACAAATTCCCTAGTGTTACGCCATCAGTTTGATGATATATTTTACAGCTAAATTGGGACTGAATGACTCCTAAGCATTTAGGAAGTAAACGTTTGAATTGAAGTACTGTCAAAGACAGAAGATCAAAACCCTGGTAGATAATATTTATGGTTTCTTAATGAAGTGCTTTGGTAAACAAGAACGCTACGTCACCAGGCACCATGGTCATTTCAAACCAGTTAGGGTGATTCAGTTTACCAGCTGGAATGAGATTTTTGAAGTATATTCAGATAACCACTGTTGAACAGGTCCTATCGTATTTACTTGTCAGGAGTCAGCTTTATAATGAGGTGAATCAACTACTGATCATATAACTATTCAGTATTTAGTTCTTCGGTAATGGCTATCAAAGTGTCTCTTTTACTCTTGGTTTCACAATCAACCAGATTATTATTATTATAACAATTACCAATGATAATATGAGATTCAGAATTCGAAATAAAGTTGCTGGAACAAATTCATTTTATTTGAAGCTCTTTATCTTTAACATCTCTTTGATCAAATTCGATTGTGATTTCTAGACAAAAAAAAATTAAACTTCATCCAAACACCTTTCAGTTAGTCCTCAATTGACAATGTAAACCGAATAAATCTAATAGGTTACTTGATCAAGACTGGATTCATGAATTTTCAGTACACGATAAACATCACTAAAAGATTTCAAGCTAATAAAATAAACAACCTAACGTTTTACAGTTTTCATGAAGAAGTTTCTGCAGACTGGTTGATTGATACCAAAGGGACTATATAGGCTCGCTTTTTTTTGTGCCGGTAATATTAATAAAGAAGAAAATTATTTCTAACCTAAACTATGGTGGTTTATGAGTTGGTTTTAGTGGTTAAAATTTTTTTTTAAATAATGAGTCATGTAAATTGTTTTGTTGTTAATTTTGTGTTATTTTTTTCTGTTTTAAACATGAATCAGCTAAACTTTTAGTAGATAAATGAATGAATGCATGAATCAACACTGCCATCTCTTTGTGTATTGCGCTATATAATATACATATATAGATAAATCCTTTGTATATTGGTCAATTAAAGAAAATATGTCTAACTCGTAGGGTCACAAACGAATGCAAATTTATAGGACATCACACAAGTTGTTATAATCTATCTTAAAAAATTACTATGATTATGCCCCCTAAAGTCTAGGGCAATATATATATATATATAATCGAACATGTGAACATGATTAGTTGTATCACATTAGTTGCATGAATCATTATTTTCACGAAAAAAAAACGAGAAAAAAAACAGGTACTCACTATGACTCAGCAAATAAAAATGACTAATGAAAATTCTAAAGAATAAATAAACAAAAAGAAAACATATTAGTAAAATAAAATGTCATTTCAATAGTTGAGAACATATGAATCAATTGAAGCTAGATCACTATGGGAAACCTGGAAGCATTGAACGGCTATTTCGTCCTATTGTGGAACTCCTCAGTAGTGTATCCACAATCCTGTCTTGCAAGATTCGAAACCATAATCTATCAATCTGGCGCGCGAACGTTTAACTATTGAAATTTCAATACTATCCACAAAATGTAATTAATAATAATATTTGATCATCAAATGAGTTAAATTATGAATCAGTTTCATTCATTGTGACTTCTTGAAAATAATGATAGATTTCAATAAACTAAAGAGATAAAGTTTGTGATCTAAGGCAATACTGAATCAGTCCGCACAGGATGAACACATGCTAACAAGAGACTGATCAATTAGAGTCTTAAATAACAATGGGAAGATACAAGTAAAACAACATCGAGTGAATTTAAACAGATAAATATACTGTGATAGAGAAATCGTTTGTAAATTTCTCATCTGGTTCTACAATTTATAAATCCAAATTAATAATCTATAAAATTGACCAGATTTAAGGCAGAGTACATCATTTGGAAATTGTAATATGTGAACCAAGGATTGTTCTTTATCATATCAAATCAAATCGTTAATGTTGAGGCTGACTAATATAAAGTGTTAACTTGAATCAGTTTATAAGTGAAATGAAATTGTGCGATAAAGGATCAAAATAAATATGGTCAACATGGGGTGAGAGAGAAAATAATGTAATTACAAATCAGAAATTACGTAATATGTAGAATACTAGGAATGAGGTCAAATATAGTAGAT